AGCCCCTCTGGGAACACGGATGGTGCCCAAGGCACGGGCAGGATGCGTGCGGGCAGGGGAAGGTGAGGGGCCAGTGAGTGAGTCCAAAGCATACAAAGATGCTGGCTCTGGCCTGGCTTGTGAGGTGTGAAGTCACACAGAGCTCCAGATAGCATGCAAAGGACAGCAGTTGTGCATGCTGCCCGTGTGCACAGAGGCGGCAGGCCAGCTCTCCAACCCTCATGCGTGCTGTGGCTAAGAGGGGCCAGGCAGGGAGCAGCAAGAGGTGCTCGCTGCAGGATGATGTACAGCTTTTGCCCCTCGCACGCAGCGAATTGCTTTTTACAACCACCCTGGCTCTCTCAGCAGGCGCACAGGAGCAGTTTGCTTGTGCCTTTTCAGCCTCACCACGATGAAGCTGAAGGCAAGCAGGATTTCTCCTTCGGTCTCATATAAGCCATGCAAGGGCCCCATGTACCCCCCCGCCCTACACACACACTGCAGGCTCCATAAAAACCCACTAAGCATAGCAAGGCCATTTTCCGGCACAGTGCGGGCGCTGAGCCATCTGAGGCTGTGCAGGCAGATAATGCCACGAGCCCTGATTCCAAGTGACGGGCTAATGGCCCTGTTGCTATTAATTTGCGTCTCTGAGGAGAGCCACAGCCTGTCTGCAGCGTCTGGAATGCACATTACGGCAAAATATTGATGACTTAAAAGCAGACAGGACCTCATCAACAATGCTGAGCTGTTTCCAGCTCTGTAGAGTCCAGTCCCATCCCCCTGGCTGGATCTCTGGAGGAGACGGTGCCCGTAACGGACAGATTGGCTGCATTAGCAGAATGGGTTTGCAATCCATTTAGGAGCTGTTCAAGCTGAGAGGCAAGGAACCGGCTGCTCCGAGGGCACGAGGAGTGAGGCGGGAGAGGTGCAGTTCTCCACAAGGAGCCAGGCCAGAGAGACTGCTGCACTGCCAGAAAAGCGATGGCGCTCAGTCCAAGGAGGGCTGTCAAGTCCTCCGATTGGAGACCTGCCGCATCCCGTGTCCCTCTAGATGCAGGAGAAGAGCTGCAGGGGCTGGGACGGAGGGGACGCACTGCTCACGTAGCGAGTGCTGGCATCCTGGGAAGGTTGCACACAGCCATCCTGTCCATGCACATGTGTGTGTAGCAGGTCAGCACGAACACACACAGCTGCCTATTGGTGCTGTGCCCCATCAGCAGACAGACCTACCCTTTCCCTAGCAATAGCAGTGGAGAGATGCACAGGTACAGGATTAACGCCAGGACCAGAGCAAGAAGGCTGCAATACAAATCCCTGGAGAAGTGATACAGGCTGTTTTGCCCAAATTGCTCCTTGGGTCTGTGTGACTGGGAACAGGGCCACTGTTGGGGGACACCTTCCCCAGTCCCCGAGCTGGGACCAGTGTCAAGAGGAGCTCAGAGACACCAGCAAGCACTGTCTGAGGACGTGACCGACACCGGACACCCAGGGAGAGAGAGATGCTCCAGAGACCACACTGCAAAACCAACAGCCTTGCTGTCAGCAGCTGGGCTTTGATGAGGACAACAGCAAGGATAAGAGGATGCTGCTCCCGTGTAGCCCACAGCCTCTGCCCCAAGCAACAGGCATGCACAGGCAGAGACACACAGAAGGTCACAATCCGACGTGACGTGGCCTCAACCACTGCTACGGAGGCACGAACTAGGCAGGACTCGTTTTCAGTGCGTCTGAGACAACAACAGCACAACTCTGCCTACGACCAGCCACGATGCATGGGGCTGGCGGGCCTGCATCAGAGAGGACGGCCACAGCAGGGTTAAATCCTTTGGGCTACCTGACACGCTATGGATACATGGAGCAGCTACTGCTGCTGCTGCTCTCTTTTGTGCATATTTTCCTTAAAAGTGGCGCAAAAGGACTTTAGGTCACTACTGGAGTTCTCCTTTCAGAGCAGCTCCTTGGCTGCTCCTCCTTCCTCAAAAAAAAAGGGAGGGGGGGAAGATGGGGAGAGGGGAGAGACGGGG